TTTTTTTTTTTGTATCAAGACTTGAATTCAAGATGTTGCACTTGCCAGGCAGGTGCTATGCTGCTGAGCTATATCCCTGGCCAGATGCCTTAATTTTTAAAAGAATAGAAACAATTTTAATTTCTAAAGCTTAAATGTGCAAATATAAAATTTAGTTGCTGAACCCTATAAATTCGCAGACTCCCAATCAGTCGTTATTTACAACTCTTTAAGTGAGATTTTTTCCCAGTTAAAAATGACTTAGTAATGTTAACAACACATTTATTTAGCATGTTACAGTTTACAAAAACCCTGTCACATGATCTTATCAACACCGAAGCCAACCTCCTAGGTGGGCAGTGATCACTCCCATTAAATTTCAGGTAAAAGCTATAGGGATCAGCTTAGCTCCTTTAACCAACCAAAAATGCATGCAGGAAATTAACTTGTTTCCAGGGAGTGATTGCACTGGTATTTTTTCATGTGAATTTTCACTGCAAATGAAGGTGGCAAGAGAGCAAATGCCCTAAGAAACTAGAGTAAGTTCTTTTTCTCTCTGTAATCTATACGGGTCAAAACTGTGGCCTTCCAACTGAGCAGAAAACAACATAAGCGTAAGTCAGTTTGCTCATTTTGTGAAGCTTGTAACTAAGTGTAGTCTTTGCATAGAGACGTCCCAAGTCTTGCTATTAAGAAAGGCAGCTGAGAGCTGATTTTGAGCTACAGCACCACAAGCACTGAGGTACTCACGTCTTTTCTGTATTCTTTCAGAATGTGGTAGGTTGGTACAAGTTCCGTCGTCACACGGATCAGATCATGACATTTAGAGAGAGGCTGCTTCACAGAAACTTACAGAAGCACCTTTCAAGTCAGGAACTTGTGTTTCTCCTGTTAACACCAAGCATAGTGACGGAAAGCTGTTCCACTCATCGGCTGGAACATGCCTTATATAAACCACAGAAGGGGTAAGTGTTGCCCAGTCTCCAGTATAGCTAGGACTTTATAGTACATTTTGCAGCTTATCAAGGGTTTATCCAATGTTGCATTAGATTGTCACAGTGACTCTCTGAAGTAGATCTTACCCTCTGTTAATTATAAGTGAAAACGTGAAGCCAGACAGAGAGACTTGAAGCCAGTATGGAGTGATGACTTGTATCCCGGTACTGGGGATTCCCATTTATTTACTGCCTTATTTTGCTACTGGAGATTGAACCTGAGGCCTTCACACTGAGCTACATCCTCAGCCCTGTTTTTATTTTTTGAGACAGGGTCTCACAGAGTTGCTAAGTTGTCAAGACTGGCTTTATACCTGTGATCATCCTGCCTCAGCCTCCCAGGTAGCTGGGATTACAGGTGTGCAACAATTTGACTGGTCCAGTAAGATTAAAACTTGTGATGGTGCTCATAAAACTTTAGAATTTAGGTTTCAAATTTTTGGACTGGGGAGGCTCAATCAGAATTGTTTTTGTTGCTTTTTTGTTTCTTGGGGGAGTGATCCTGGGAATCAAACCCAGGGCTGCCTGCATGCTAGGCCACCCTGCCCTCAAATGGGAGTCTGTACCCATGCTGGCCTTAAACACAAAATTTCCTGCCTCAGCCTCCCAGGTAGCTGTACTGTCTTAAATGTATACTTACTTGATCAGTTAATGAAAGTGTTTTTGTACACAATTTTCTACCATGCACATTTCACAATTTTTTTTGGTCTTTTTGAGACAGAATTTCACTATGTAGTTCAGGCTTGCCTCGAACTTGCAGTGATCTTCCTGCCTCAGCCTCCTGAGTGCTGGGATCACAGGCATGCACCACCGTACCCAACCACATTTCATAATTTTTAAAAGTAAGTTGCTTCATGTCAGTAAATTTTACCTTGTAAGTAGTAAGGAATTTTTTTTTTTAATCTTGGGGGAATCTATTCTGTTAGATGCTGCTCTTCCTCTTTATTTAAAAAGTTACACTTACACCCTTGACTTCATCAGACTTTTTCACAGGATCCCGTTAGTAGTGGCCAACCTGGGCATGTCTGAGCAGCTGGGTTATAAAACTACATCGGGCTCCTGCACGTCTATGGGCTTCAGCAGAGCAGTGAAAACACACAGGTGAGATCCGTCAGCTGCTCTCCCACCGCATTTACTCCTGTTTTTTGACATTGTCTTATTAGACAAACAGAAGGAAAAAATGAAAGGAAAACTGATTAAATGAGTACAGTGCTCAAACAAACTAGACTGATTTTACTACCTCCATTACATTCTCTTTCTTTGTTTTTATTTTTTGGGTTTTTTTCTTTTTTGAGACAGGGTTCTCCCTATGCAGTTCAGGCTGGCCTTGAACTCACTTTGTGACCCAGGTTGGCCTTGAACTCATGGTAATCCTCCTGCCTCAGCCTCCCGAGTGCTGGGACTACAAGGATGCACTCCTGTGGCCGGCTCCATTACATTCTTCTAGCACCCGTCTACTCTAAATTTGGACTTTGAGCTGAGGAAATTGTGTTTTACAGCTCTGAATTTTTTAAAGAAGATGGATCCTTAAAGGAGGTACATAAGATAAATGAAATGTATGCTTCCCTGCAAGAAGAATTAAGGGTAAGTTTACGCCAAGCATTTGAAGACCATTGTAGAGTTCATGTCAAATTGATCATGATGAGGTCTTTTAGGGCCAATCTTATGTATCAGATTTACATTGTACTCCTTTAACTGCTGGAAGAAAGACTGCTCTTGGTGGCACCACAATCTGCTCACGTTGCTGTGGCCATGTTCTTTTCAGATGTCCCCTGCATTCCAGGATTCAAGCTGAAGAGAAGCACTTACCTGGAACATGTTCTTTTTTTTTTGTTGAGACGGGGTCTGACTATGTAGCCCAGGCTGGCCTTGAACTTGTGGCGCTTCTCCTGCCTCAGCCTCCCAAATGCGGGGATGACAGGAATGCGCCACCACACCCAGCTTTGGCACACGTTCTTGTGGCAAAAGGAAAAGGCAAGAGAGCCACTGGGAGCCCACAGAGCTCTCAGAACCGAGACACCGCCCCCCGCGCCCCAGCAAGCAGCATGAACTTGGGCTGTGCTGGCCGAGGACCCGGCACCCCACACCAGGCAGGCACACAGGATCCTTTTGGGGTGAGGGAGACACACGCTCAGCAGCCGCACAGCTGCCACAGTGTCCCAGTGGTCTCTGTGTGTCAGGTCAGGTCCCGGCAGGAGTCCCATCAGGGTGGGGTCAGAAGCGACAGACTCTGGGCCTGGGAAGGACAGAGGGGAGCAGGGCAAGGAGGGCCATGGCCTCTGAGGAAGCCCGGGCACAGAGGCCGCGGGCGGAGGGGCGGGTCCAAGGCGCGCTGCGCCGCTCAGGGAGGGAGCATGCGCAGAGCTGACCAGGTGACGGCCGGAGCTGCAGCTGCCCGCTGTGCTCCCAGTGACAGCCAGGAGTGGGCCTGCAGCCACTCAGTGGAGCACCTGGACAGCAGGGAAGGTGGCCATGCACTACCAGGATGTGTGAGTTTAGTGTGAAAGGAAGGAAGTGTAGATGGCAGAGGCCCGAGTCTCACCTTAACATGACCGTCCTCACCCTGCAAGTCTCCGGGTTTTCCCAACGGATACATACTCTGATGTAGTTGACAGTTGTGGCAGTGTGAATCTGTCATGAGGGGTTTTTTTGGTCTTTCTGAGGCAGGGTCTCACTATGCAGTTCAGGCTGGCCTTGAGCTCACTTTGTAGCCCAGACTGCTCTCAAACTCGCAGCAATCCTCTTGCCTCAGCCACCTAAATGCTGGGATTACAGGCGTGCGCCACCACGCCCGGGCTGTCATGAGATTTTTAACACTTGATGTATCATTAAACATTTTTCATGTTGTTATGTATTATTTTGTTAATTTTAGTGCAGTGTATATTTTTCAACTTTAACAGGTAAATTGTAATTCATTTTGTAAATCTGGATGTTTTGAAGTATTGGGGCTTGGGTAAATCTAGTTCATTAACAAATATATCACTTCACATCATTGTCATTTGTGGTGAGAACACCTGACATTCACTTTCTTTGCATTTTTCAAGATACAGTGTATCAGCTGTACCTGACCTGCACACCTACCATCCCAGCACTCTGGGAGGCTGAAGCAGGAGGATCCCAAGTTTGAGCCTAGCAGGACCACTTAAGACACTGCCAAAAAACAAACAAACAAACAAAAAAATCCAACATACTATATTGCCCTTGACTGGAGACCTCTGGAGCAACTGCTCCTGCCTCACTGTGATGTCTTTTTTTGTTTGTTTCTGAGTTTTTGAGACAGGGTCTCACTATGCAATTCAGGCTGGCTTTGAGCTCACTGTGGAGCCCATGCTGGCCTCAAACTCATAGCAATCCTCATACCTCAGCCTCC